CTGGAGCGGACGTAGAAAAAGAAGAATCTTAGTATATTGTTGGAAGGACGGTAAATTGGTGCATTCATTTTGGAAAGCAGTCTGGACTTATCTTTAAAAATTAAAAATGGAAATGCCACATGATGTAGCCTTTTGAGTATGCATCCAAAGAACACAGAATCATCAACTTGAAAAATTACATGGTACACGATGTTTACTGGAGCATTATGTGCAATAGCTAGGATTTGGAAGCAATTATGAGCCCTCTGAAAAAGGACTGGATCAAGAAGATGTGGTCTATCTATACCTCGGAATACGATTTGGCTATCAGGAAAGATGAAACATTACCATTTACAGCAAAATCGAAGGACCTGGAAGGGATCATGCGAAGCAAAGTCAGAAAGATAAAGACAAACACTGGACAATTTCATATTAGGAGCAATACAAAGGAACAAAGCAGGTGACTGACAAAGCAAAATAATTACAAACTAACAGACATTTATAACCGAGCTGAGGTTTCAGAGATTAAGAGGGAGGAGGAAGGGGAGCAGTGGTTAAAAGGACGTAAGGGGTGGGGGGGTGGGAGAAAAACAGACAAATGAAAGCACACATGGCCCCCACTGTATTTATGTTTGCCAGTGACCACTTCTCCAAGTTACCATGCGTCAGGTATGGTAATAATGAGAAAGGAAGAAATAAATGAGGAAAATCACATTTATTTCCTATTTGTATCACTTTGCGATAGACATATTTACAAAACAAGGCGGAAAATTCTAAAGCTAATACAAGAGAAAAGAGAAACATCTACTAAGGAAATTAACTTCACTCATTCAAAGTACTACTCCACGTGAGGCTGGAAAAGAATAAAGAGACGCAAAAAAAAAAAAAAATACAAGAAGTTAAGGTCAGGGTTACAGTCAAGAGGATCAAGAAAGCCCAGCACCACCATCCAGCAGGTGTTCGAGGAATATCAGAGGGACGAACAAGCATATCCGGAATAGAAAGGTAAAAGGAAGGATAATAGGAAAGAAAAAAAGTTTTTAAACTTTTTGATAAAAGCCTCTAACACACTATTATAAAAGCTACTGAAAATAAGTTCGACTTACATGTCAGCAGTTTATAACCAAAGCCCAGAAACATCATGGCAAAGACTTGGGAACAGAATCAACAGAAAAGAGAAGGATCACAGGGGCCTCCCTGCTGGCTCAGGGATTAAAGACACAGCTCTATCAAGCTATCACCAGCCACTGCAGCATGAGTTCCATCACCGGCCGGGGAGTTGACCCACATGGCACAGCAGACCTCTCCTGTCTCGTCTGCTACTCCCCTCAGCAGTGGATTTCAGTGGATCTGCCTGTTCTGCTCCCCACTCTCTCTAGTGAATTCTTTCACCACCACCCCCTCCCACCTTGCACCTCTGGCTTACACCCCAGTTCTTGTATGCATAACTGAATCTTTAAGAGAGAGAGAGAGAAAGAGAGAGAGAGAGAGAGAGAGAGAGAGAGAAAGGATCACAAACGATATCTGGCAGACTTTGAGTTTTCTGCAGAAGGTGCCATGAGGTAACGACCCGCCATTAATATCGGGAGGCATATGGTTGGTAGTTTTTCAGGTTCATGAAGTAGTAAGGTGAGTAAAAGTATTTTTTGACTATTTCAAGACCATGAATCATCAATAAGACAAAGGTAGGCAAGGCTGCTCCCTCTATCTCCATTAGAGAAATCAATTATATTCTTATAAATGCGTTGGCAGCGAATAGGCAGGAAAACCAGTGGATGGCAACCAAGATCAACTTAATTTAATGTTACATGTATCCCCTGGAGAAGGGAAAAGAAATGTTGGCTTACTGTGTAAGGAATTCTCTGGAGTCATAACTTATCAAATCCTTGTGTCATTTATAGAGTAAGAACTTCACAAAATGCTGTACCAGTAATTGCAATTTCATAAGCAGAATATTCGTGCTAGCTGAGAACCTCCTCTATCTCATATTAATGGCAAACAGTAGGTTCTGACAGGAACAGTTTTCACTTAACACCAGGAATGGCCATTACAGAAAGCTAGGAGATGAGCGAGAACTAAAGAAAAAGAAATAAGAATTAAAAAATCAGTAACTTTTAAGAGAGGATGAAAAGAACAGCCACTGGTTGCTATAACAACAGTAAATACGTCTGGGAGGCATAGGACGGGAGAGGACTAGAGTAATCACTGTGCCCGTGGAGACAAAGAACAGGGCTAAGTTCACTGCAGGAACATCCTTTCTGCTACTGCACCTTGTTACTGTGTGTGTGGACGATTATTTCATTATACCTGACTGTGGTCTAAATTGTAGCTATACTTACTGATCTGCAAGAACATACCCAATCTTCCGAGAAAGCTTTCCCTCTCATTGTGCCTGCCGCCCTCCTGTGACTCCTGAGCTTGAGCTTCATGATGGTGGAGTTAGGAGATCCTTGCACCCAGCATGGAGGTGAGCACTGGCTAGTTTTCAATAAACATCAATTTAAAAAAATGAATGAAGGTGACACTACCATTGTGATATTTCACCTGAAACATGTTATTTGTTCCATTAAGAGCTGATGCTTGTTAGGGACTGAAATGTCACTCCCTGCCTCCACCCCCAGTTCACTCATTAATTCCAATTTATGTGCTCATTTTCCACTGTACTTGAAGACAGGGCCTTTAGGGGCATTAGTAAGACTGAGGGCATAAAGGCGGGGCTCTAATCGATAGGACTGGTATCATTATAAGAGAAGTAAGAGACACCAAAGATATTTCTCCTCTCCCCAGCCCCCCTCCCTCCCCACCTAGTGTACAGAGAGGAAAGGCATGTGAGGACACAGCGAGAAGGTAGGTGGCTACAAGTCAGGAAGAGAGGTCTCACCAAAACAATCCTGACAGCACCTTGATCCTGGATATCCAACCCACAGAACTGTGAGAAAACAAATGTCTGTGCTATTCTGTCACGGTAACCCAAGCTAATTAAAACAACACTCAAAGCAGCAAATGGGCATTCTCTGAGTCTCACTGACAGCTGTCAAGATGTACAGCAGGGAGCTCCTTAGAAGCACACTATGCGGGGCCCCATGTAGGACATCAGGTCCTCACCCTGAGGCTAGAATTGGGTTTCTCTTGGAGGGCACACTAGGCAGGGCCTGTAAGACATGAGAGCAAGCAGCACTCCATCTGCCCACCTGTGACAATGCAAGTGCTTCCTTTTACCAACTCTCTCCTCTGCAGGGCAGCAGCGTCCTGCCTGCCCGTGATCTGCACCACACCGGGACTTCTCTGCACTGACCTCCCTTGGCGGAGGCAGCTCTCCTCAAGGCCACCCACCTGTGACCACACTGGCCTCTCTCAGGGCAGCGCTTCCTGCCCACTTGTGTCTATGCAGGTGTACTTTACTCTTCTGTCCCTTTCCCTAATAAACCTGCTCTTTAAATTAAAAAAAAAAAAAAATAAAGACATGAGTGCAAGCTAGTTACACCAGATTCAAAATCACACTCAACAAGCAAGACTGTTAGACTTCTTGCATTTTCTCTACTAATTTCTCCCTTGTTCTTAGTAGTACTCTAAACATTTCCTTGCACTCTCTGGTCTATCTCTGTTAACCCAAAACAGAACCAAGAGAAAATAGTTTCATTGTTGAAAATATTGAAGATAGTGAAATATTGAAAATATTGAAAACACTGAAGGGGGAACAGAGGACCTGCAGGGGTGTGGTGAGGGAGTGGTAAGAATCACATAAGTAAGAAGATTTCGAGGGGAAGGTGAAATTCAGTGTTCCAGCACGTCACTCAACTAGACAAATATTTACCAAGAGCTTATGGGCAACTGACCCTAATCTAACCACTAGGGATGCAACAGTGGACAAAGCCAACAAAATGCTTTCTTTGTCTTTGAGGCGTTTACATTCTAGCTGGGCGGGGGTAGGAGACAGTTCACAAGACATGAGAAAATTATATGGCACGTTACAAGTTAACAAATGCGGCAGACAAAAAGCAGGAACGATGCAGGGCCAGGGGGCTTTGGAAAGGTGACACTTGAGCGACCAGGAGGAACGGGAATGAACCATGTGTCTATCTGGCAGAGGTAGGCCGGGGCCGAGGCAGGTCATTCCTGACATTTTCAAAGAATGGAGTGACCTATGAAAAAGTAGCAGGTGATCAGACCGGAGAGGGAAAGTGGGGGCTGAGGAGGCAGGGAGAGCGTCACTAGGTCTCGCAGACTACTGGAGCAACTCTGGGATTTACTCTGAAGTTAATGAGAAAAGGTACTTCATCAACTTCCCATTTGCTAACGCTGGAGGTAATAGCCCCTAAAAGGCAGGCTTCTGAAACTGAGGGGTCTCTCCGCATTTTGTTTCATGCTGCAGAATCCCAATCCCTGACAAGGCACTCAGATGAAGCCAACAGGCAAGAGTTGGAACGCCAATGATACACAGCCAAGAAGTGCATTTTGGCAGACAAACACAAACACCTATTTTAATAAAAGAACTGCAAACTCACCACTTCCTAGGGAGAACAATGGAGAAACCGAGGTACAAAGAAAAGACTACATTTTTAAAACAAATGCCAAAGTTTCTTCTGCCTCCTATTACCACAAAGCCTGCTCCAAATGACAACTGCAAGCGACTACATCCAGAGAAGGTGCTGCCTTGGCCAGCACTGGGGGGAAGCCAGCCAGAAGGCACGTCTCCGAGTAAGGAAGAGGAGGGAGGCACAACACTGTGAGAAAATGCAAAAATAGAAGACATTCTCACCCAGACCACTCCTTTCACCATACCTACTCATGTTCCATTTCAAATAAAAGGGCGCTGATCTAAATATAAGCTTGTAAAGCCAAATCAGGCTCTAACCAAAGATGCTTATGGGCATACTTCCTGCCGGGAAGGAGATGGTACCAATGATTAGGAATTGAAATGTCCATAATGCCCATCACCCTTTCCAGAACTGAGCTTCAACATATACGTCAATTCGGATGACTGCACTATCTGCCATCCACACTGCAGGTGTCTCCAGGCGCCCTGCAGAGGTGGCACCACAGGCGCAGCTGCTCCGCAGCAGCAGTGCCGCCGGGAGGAGAGCAAGTGGCTGTGTCTAGCTCAGTGCTTCGGACACGGAGCGCTGAGGGTTTATAGCCTCCTGTTCCTCTGGCTCCGGGGAGGCCAAGTTTGTCCTGTGACTGAAGTAAGACCTGCCTTCAGGCTGGCAGCTGGGAAGGTGGGGAGAGGTCACACACCTACACAGTGACTTCTCGTTTCTCCCGCCAGCTGAGGCTTGTGCAAGTGCAGGGAGATGTGTGCGCACACCGCAAGTTTCTGGTACAGTGGATTAACCAGGAGATGGTCTTAAAGTTTGTTAATTATTTTTTAAATTAAAGAAAAGTAAAGGCAATATTCTTGGACATGTTACAGAAGGGGAGGGGGAGAAGCATAGATAAATTACAAATTTTTAAAAATCATCATTGGGCCTCCCTCGTGGCTATGAAGCTATGGAGCTACTGGCAGCCACTGCAGCACGGATTCCATCCCTGGCCAGGGAGCAACCCACATGGCACAGCAGACCTCTCCTGACTTGCCCGCTGCTCCCCTCAGCAGTGTATTTCAGTCAATCTGCCTGTTCCACCCCCCACTCTGTCTCTGGTGAATCTTCTTACCCCCTCACACCTCTGGCCTAGACCCCAGTTCTTCTTTTTTTAAATATTTATTTTTATTTATACAAGAACTGGGGTACAGGCCAGAGGTGCAGGAGGGTGAGAGGATTTGCCAGAGACAGAGTGGGGAGCAGAACAGGCAGACTGACCGAAGACACTGCTGAGGGGAGCAGCGGGCGAGGCGGGAGAGGTCTGCCGCACCATGTGAGTATCTCCCTGGCAAGCCAGGAATTAAACCTGCGCTGCAGAGGCTGTGGACAGCTTCACAGCACTGTGCTCAACCCACTGCGCCACCATAGACCCCAGTTCTTGTACGCATAAATAAATAAATCTTAAAAAATAAATAAATAAATAAATAATTATCATTGAAACCATGGGACAACAACAGAATTAGAGAAAATTTTGGACAGAAAAAACACTCCCAAAATTCACTCTCTTAAAATAATTATTTCACTGGCTGAGAATAGGACTTGGCCTGCAAGTCACAGCTTGCTAACCCTATTTGTAAAGTCCCTGTTCTATGTGCGATGACCACCCCACCAGTGTTAACCAGAAATAGGGGGCAGATACGCATGCCATCCTCAACTGGAAAATTCCATTTAGCTTTCCTCTGCCGTGACTCATATTTGTCATTTCCTTTCCATTTCCATTGCCAGGCCCTAAATCTGACTTTGTTACCTTTCATTTATGCACATTCCCCTGTTTTCACACATGCTGCTTCCTCACTGAATCCCCTTCCTCTTGTCCCCTACCTATTAAAATCTCTCTGTCCCACTCAGCTTGACTGTAAATTAGATAGCATAAGGACTTAATATTATTTTAGGAGGGGCAATGGTATTGTAGTTATGTATTTTTTTAAACACTGTGATTTTTTAAAAATATTTATTTATGCACACAAGAACTGGGGTATAGGCCAGAGGTACGGGGGATGAGAGGATTCACCAGAGACAGAGTGGGGAGTAGAACAGGTGGATCTACTGAAATCCATTGCTGAGGGGAGCAGCGGGGAGACAGGAGAGGTCTGCTGCACCCTATGGGTGAGCTGCCTGACTGGAGATTAAACTCGAGCTGCAGTGGCTGGTGACAGCTTGATAGCGCTGTGTCTTTAACCCCTGCACCACCAGGGAGGCCCCTCACTATGTATTTTTTTTAAGTGTTCCTATCTTTTAGAAATTCATGTTGAAATTATCATGGCAGAAATACTGTGATGTCTGGGATTTACTTCAAAATAATCTGAGGGTGAAAGTGGAAGAAGGGGTGGGTATACAGAGGAAACAGCCATTAGCTTTAGGGAAGAAAGCTGGATGACGACTTCACAGGGATTCATTATTTTTGTATATTTTAAAATTAAAAGTTCTAGACAACCGAAAGCTGAAAACATTGCAGTTAAAGGCCAGACTCCACAACAGAATTAATACCCCTACGTCCTGTACTACCTCAGCACTACCTATTCATTACTCGTCCATTCTGCTCCGTGCTGCCGGCCACTAGCTGCTGATACCAAGACAGTGAACTCTCTGAGGACAGGCATTTCCCAGCAGACTTCACATATAATTGACACCTGATATTGTCTACTAAAGTTATCTGAAAAAAAAACAAAACAAAAACAAGACCACAGAGACTCAAGGAGAAATAAAAACAGGGCGGGGACATCTTCCACTCTTACTCCCTGATCAAAATTTAGTCTGAAAAATTCATCATTTCAACTATATATATACACCATATACACGCCGGCTATCTGTAGTGCTGAACTTCAGTGATCCAATCTAAAAGCAGAAAATAACCATTCAGGGCCTCCCCGGTGGCACAGCGGTTGAGCGCTGGGTTGCGAAGCTGCCAGCAGCCTCTGCAGCGCCGGTTCGATCCCCGGCTGCTCCCCAGCCACCGGAGGAGGGTCCCACATGGCGCGCAGACCTCTCCTGCCGCCCGCTGCTCCCCTCAGCAGTGTACTTCGGTCCTTCTGCCTGCTCTGCTCCCCGCTCTGGCTCTGGTGAATTCTCTCACCCTCCCGCGCTTCTGACTGTACCCAGTGCATGTATAAACAAAAACAAACAAATGAATAAATAAATAAATAAAACATGCCTCTATTTAAAAAAAAAAAAAAAGAAAAAAAAAAGAAAATAACCATTCACTTCAACTTTTCTGGAGTCAGCGGTGAGTGACGAGGATAAGATTTTTGCTCTTAAAAAGGAGACGGCGTCATTATCCTCCATGACTTCGAAGCCACCAGCATATTAGACCACCATACCCACCGCCATCTTTGTCCTGGTGGACGATGGAATCAGTTTGGTTATCAGTGCCAGAGCTGTGGTAGAATCATGTATCTGTGTCTATTATCCATCCAGTACTAGCTGTACTACAATCCTCTCCAACCTAAAAGAAGAGAAGGTAAAGTTTTCATTCACTCAGTGATGCTGATTAATACATTTGGCTTTGGTTGGTTTGATCTGAGAGAGGAAATCAAGGAAGTTCCAATCAGGTAGCTCTGCTTTCCAATTTTAAATGTTTTAAGTGCCTCCAAAAGATGAGCAAACTCACACTGCTATATTTAGCAAAAGGTTCTCTCAGCCCACATTATGTAAAATGAAAATAAAAACTCTGCTACTGAAAAATGGATAGCTTTTTAAAGAACAGAACTTAATGCATCAAGTATAACACATACAATTCTGGGCTGGAATGAAGCAACCTCGGTCTACCACCAAACAGCACACACTGAGCGAACCCAGCTCTCCCCCAAGTGGTCCTCCATCTCTTGCTCTATCAGCTCCCAGGCTATCCTTGGGTCTGAGAATTTGCCCAGTGTCTTCAACTGCCAGGCAAGCAATCTTGCCATATGCAAAAACACTGGCTTCCCTAACAAAACTAACACACTTCGCCATCACATTTTTCTAATTTCCAAGTGTCCTCTGATAGCACATTTGTTCCAAAAATCCAGGAATCCTGAATATGACCCTCGCTAATCACTATTATAGTCCGTCCCTTTCGATTCCTATTCCTTGAGTCCAGCCTCCAAAACCTGCACGATCAGATAACCAAATCAGAAAATAGAATATGTCTAGCCATTAAAAAGAACAAAGTAAAACAAAGCCATACAGGGATTTCTACAAGACGTTTAGTGTAAAAAGCAAAAGGTAAAAACTAGTTTTCATGTGAGTCCCTTTTTTAAACAATATCCTTAATTCATTGTGTATATATATATATATATATATATACATTTCTATATTATATAACAGAAAAATCTGTAAGGTTGAACATAAGAACTATCTGTTAAAGGAGGTGATGCAAACTGAGAAAGTGAAGAGAAAGGGTGAAACAAAGCTAGCAAAAGAGAAAAACAATAAATTTCACTTAACACTGCATATGTGTGTACAATGTATTTTTTATGTATCTATGTGCAAGTATATATATTTTTAAACTTTTAAACAAAATGAATTAAAAATACTAAACAAATTCAGTTGGACAAGCACAAGAAACTTCCACTCAAATAGAAAATACCTGTAAATACTATGTCAGGTTTCAAAAAGTATCTACAAATTCGTTGACACCATTCTGTAAGGTAGAAGCAAATTCCTGAACTCCCCTTGAATATGGGCTGGGCTAGCGACCAGCTTCTGATCTATTGAATGCAGAAGAAATGATACTGTGTGACTTTCCAGGCAATACAGGGCTATAGTGAATTAATAGGAATGAAAGTTTAATTATAATAATGTACCACCTATGTTCATGAACATGGAAACTTTCACTTTCATAAAAAAAGTGTCTACAAACATAAAAAACTTGTTTAGATTTTACCAAAATCCTCAAAGAATTTCTAAGAAGTAAGATGAAGGAAATGCAAAGTGAATGGTTTGCCTACTTTCATTTTGAAAACCAGAATTGGGCCTCCCCTGGTGGCACAGCGGTTGAGCGCTGGGTTGCGAAGCTGCCCACAGCCTCTGCAGCGCTGGTTCGATCCCCGGCCACCGGCGAGGGTCCCACATGGCGCAAAGACCTCTCCTGCTGTGCCCGCTGCTCCCCTCAGCAGTGTACTTCGTCAGTCTGCCTGTTCTGCTCCCTGCTCTGACTCTGGTGAATTCTCTCACCCTCTCGCGCTTCTGACTGTACCTAGTGCTTGTATAAATAAATAAATAAATCTTTAAAAAAAAAAAAAAACAGGCCAAACAAATGACAATTAGATTTAGTTTACAAATGCACTTAAAAAAAAACAAAACAGAATTAAAATATGGGAATGGGAATCCCAACAGAGTAGTACTCCAGTTGCCTTCTATAAACACAGCTTTCAGAAAATAAATGTCTTTCTGAGAATTCTTTCTGTGATTTGCTTTCTGTGAATAAATTATAATGGTATAGTGAAAATGCTAGACTAAGAACTTAAACCAGGCAGAGCCACACTAGTTAAGAGGCTTCACCTTGCTAATTATACCCTGAGTACCCACAAAAAAGAACAATTTGCAAATTCATAAAGCAACACAAAGAGCATTTGCACAGTACTCT